GCAAATATCTCATGGTCTTATGGTCATTCCTTACAACAAATACTATCTGGGCTCTGCTGTATCCCAGCCACTGGAATTGGTTCTAAATATACATTCACCATGGAAGACAGATTGTTTATTAAGTGTTATGAATAATTCACATTATATTATATATATTCACATTATCTATTCCTCCACATTATAATATACCAAAGTTTCCTGGTTGAAAAATATTTAGAATATATTCTTACCTGTCCCACAGCAATACATTATGGAAGTAATTTGAGAAGATATTTAGGAACCCACATTCTTTTACCCACAGGTTAACAGTAGAACTCAGGGTATGTTTTGTTTTGTTTTGTTTGAGGGGAGAGGAAGAATGATTTTCATAACAGGCCAAACATATCTCCTCTCTTCATGAGAGACAGACCTCTTTTCTGTTTCTCAATTTGATAAACATAATGCTTCAAACTATTACTGATACTAGTTTGAATTTTAAGCCAACAAGGGGAAAACAAGCTGTGATTTTAGATTTGTGGCTTTATTGAGCCAATATGGCAAAACAAACTTTTGATCTTACTTGAGTCATCCTGTTCCTGCAACTGTTTTCTGTTTCAAAGTCATACTGCTGCTTTGCTGATGATTACTATAGTATAACAACTAACATTTCATACCACTTGCAGCAGTACAAAAATGCTTTCAAATACATTATGACATTTAAATTCACTGTAATTTTGCAAGGTATTGTCACTAAGAAGAGAAATTGTACTTTGGAAGGCCATGGGCCTTGTCAAGATCAGAGTTAGGAAACATCAGAATGAGAACATTAACCTTCTGATTTCAAGAACATCATGACCCCACAATGCTTGACTTGACCAGTGCCCTATATCTTAAATACAAACCTCAGCTATTATTTAACTCCACATACACACTATTTCCCAAAGTTCTTTTCTTATCTGTTCCTTTAATAATGTTTATGGCCATATATTAGTTAACTTTAACTACTAAAATTTTGCTACCTAATGAAGATAGACAAATATGTCCAATAAGCACATGAAAAGATACTCAGCTTCATTAGTTATTAGAAAATGTACATCAAAACCACTCCACATTCGTTAAACTCATGCCATTGAGTCAATTCCAACTCACAGCAACCCCACTGGGTTTCTAAGGCTATAAGTCTTTACTGAAGCAGAGCTCCTCATCTTTCTTCTGCGGAGTAGCTGGTGAATTCAGATAACCAACCTTTTGGTTAGCAGCTAAATGCCTTAAGCAAATAGAAAATAACAAACATTGGCCAGGATATGGAGAAATTGGAACCTTCATGCATTGCTGGTGGGTATGTAAAACAGTACAGCTGCTGTGGAAAATAGTCTGGAAGTTCCTCAAAAAGTTAAACATAGCATTACGATATGACTCAACTCCCACTCCTAAGTATATACCAAAGTAATTGAACACAGGATTTCAAATACACTTGTACATCATTGTTCATGCAGCATTTTTCACAATAGCCAAAAAATTGAAACAACTCTATTGTCCATCTACAGATGAATAAGTAAACAAAGTGTAGTCAGTACATATCAAACCAAACTCACTGCTGATCTGACTCATAGTGACCCCTCCTTGGGTTTCTGAGGCAGTATCACTTCGGAAGTAGATTGCCCAACCTTCCTTCCAAGTAGTGGCTGGTGGGTTTGAATCACCAGCCTTCTGTCTATACAATATTTATTCTTTTGTGTATGTTTATTTCACTTGCATAATGTTTTCAAGTTTCATCCAGATAAAAGCATGTAACAGAACTTTATTTCTCTTTATGGCTAAATAATATTTCACTATATGT